TTTCGTATATGTTTAAGTATTAATTTTTACTAATTCTGGATTACCGAATAGCTTGTTTTTTTTTTGTTACCGTTCCTTTTGGTTCAATTTCGATTTGAGTAGACTTCCTTTTTATGCCCATCCCTAACAAAGTAAAAAGAAACACGATAACACTAATAAGAGTTTATTTTCTTCCAAATGATAGCATGACGTACAAAATAACTCTGACTTCACCGAATCATATCAAATTATTTTTCTTAAAAAAAAAAGAGATAAATCCATCAATATTGTGCATCTCCAAAGCAAGAGCAATGCTGAATCTCCAAGCTACGTTTAAAGACATAGAGAAACTTTCCCACACCAACAACACCTTCACTCAATTAATCTCAACTTCTTCTTTTTCTTCCCTCTCTGTAAAAAAATGCCTTTGAAGAAGAAGAACTATACACTCAAAACCATATTCAAACCCATTTTTACGGTGTGTTGTTGCGGTTGCGGCTCTAGCTTTTCGCTTTCTTCTCACAGCCACGACTACACCCCGGGACTACCGGTTTCTCCCACGGTGTTACGCAGCCCATGTCCTAAGATCAATGAGAGCGTAGCGATGGCTAAGGAATCAACCAATCCATTCGAAGATTACAAGAAGTCGATGAATCAGATGATCATCGAGAGAGATATCGAAACAGAGGATGATCTTAAGGAGCTTCTAAGGTGTTTCTTGGACATAAACCCTCCTCCTCATCACAATCTCATCGTTCGTGCTTTTGTTGACGTCTGTTCACATCTCCGGCCACCACACGACCGCCGTGGAAAGTCACTTGGGAGATTGCTTCGTCTTTATGTTAATCCTGTTGATGGTAATGATAACAAGTCGCACCAAACCTCATCAAATAGTATGAGGAATTGATCTTCTTCATGCATCTAAATATCCGTTACGTGAATAATTTGATTTTATCATAGTTCTCAATTTCTATTTTATGTTTAATGATTCCAAGACTATATTATGTCAACCATTAAGCAGAAACAATTACAAGATACGTGGATTATGCTTTACGCAATAATTATGTTTCAATTTAGACTAGTTAATTATTAGAAAATAAAATAAAAAACCAAGTGTAACTCAATCAAATCAATACTGTAATAACACAAAACCTCTTCAAAGAGAGACGTATCAACATTTTTAAGCATTTTGGAACTGCAACCTCATTAAAAAAAATTCATTTCTTCAAAATCAATTAGATCATTTTATTAATACACATGATCAATAATTATACACATCAAAATGCATTTAGTCTATGCACGAATTCTTCTTCCTCTTCTAGACGTTAGATTCATTCACTTTCGCCATATTCTCAAAACCGTTCCACCTTCACACATAATTGACATTAACTTAAGTTAATCATATAAAAAACAATCGTGTGTGTATATATGCCTTATATATGTGAAAATATTTATTCTGGAATGAAGATGTTTTGTAATGGAGACTTGGAGAGACAAATGTCACAGGCAGATCCTACAACACTTGCACAATCTCTCCTTCTTTCTTAGAGAGATAAATCTGTAGATGGAATCCAATTGTTTTTCTTTTCTTTTAAATACTAAATTGATTTTTGTGTGTACAATCCGAAACATTTTCATGTATAGAAAGATTTGTTAGTCTTTTCTTTTTTCTGTTTTAAAACATTTTTTTTGTATCTAATGATATTGAAAGACTATTTACTCAAAAATATATATAGTTTTCTATGTTTGGGAATGATTTCAACTGTAGTTTTTTTTTTTCATTTAATTTCAACTAATATTTGAAGCAATTTTTTTTATTAAATTAGTTAAAAGAAAACGAAACAAAAAATAACTAGCAGCGTACCGCGGGAGGTAATCTAGTATAGTTCAATTTTTCTGATCAATTGTTTTCCTTCCGGTTATGATTTGGTTTTGATTTGGTTTAAACGAGGGATTGAATAAAATGAATTTCAATTTCTCCTATCGGTTATGATTTGTTTTAAGCAAGGGATTGAATAAAACGAATTTCGATTTCTCCTGTATATAAAATAAATTAAATGTGTTCCCAACCAGTACAATGATTAATTGAGTTAATTAATTTATAATCCCCAAATAATCAAAAAGCCTCTAAACCGTACAAAACCCCGGCATGTTTCTCCGGTCCATCCTCAACGAAATACAAATCCCTCATCCTCTGAAACGCTTGCCACGTCAGCAAACTATCCGAACCGGCTTGATGACATTTCCCAACCGCCCGGTTTACCTCAAGCGACCTAGCTAACCGGTCCAAACCACCGTACAATCTCTGCTCACAAAACCTCATCATGTGTTTCACATCGTAAACTCTCTCGCCGAAGAGAGCTCTGAGCAACCGTAGAAACTCACCCAACGCTCCCGGAAGCTCCCGGCGCGTGAGGATCTTCACAAGGTAACCGAAATCGTACGCGCTGTGAAACGTAACCCAGCTCACAGATCCGTTGCAGATCAATCCCGACGACATCATCAGCTCCGCGAACCTCTCCGATTCAACTCCGTCGCGGCGGTTACGCTCGAAATCGATCCCGTGACGACGGAGAAGCTCGATCGAATCAGGCGCGTGAGGGTCACGCTCCACGTCGAAGTCGCGGAAATTGAATTCCCAGATGAATCGGCTTCCGTCTCCTCCGCCGAGATCGGGGAGGTTTCCGTCGGCGTCGGAGAGAGTGAGACCGACTTGGATGAGTTTGAGTGCGTCGACGTTGGATTTGAGAAGCTTGTAGAGATAATTAGGGTTTCCACGGCGGAGAAGAGCTGGCTCCGCCTTGTAAATCACGCCGGGAAATTCTGTGTCCATGGAGATGAACGGATAATCCTCGACGATTCCGCTGATTAGCTCAAATTCCGAGTCTAGATTATCGGCGAAAACCTCACGGATCACGATTGATCCTTTGTGTTTCCGATCGGAGAGATCTGCAATCGTCATCGTTTAAAGTTCGTCTTTTTCTTCTTCGTCTTCGTCTTTAAAAGGTCTCTGCTTTACTAATTATGGCAACTGCAGATTTTAGAGAGATATATATGTGGGTATAGAGGTGTATGTAGAGGTGTAAGTCAAGAGTGAAGGGTTACGAGGAAGGAGAGAAGTGGAGAGTGTACGAAACGCGTCGTGTTTGACTCGGTTTGTTTACAAACGCAATTTTTCTGTGCCTAAAATTTGGTCCAAGTTGGCTTTCTCTTTGTATCCAATTATTGCAATCCCGAGTGGTTATAATTAAATTAAACAAATACATTTCGTTTTCTATCAGTTTTTGTTTTCTTTTGGAAGAATAATCGTTACGAGACCAATGAACTTACGAGGTATGTTACACTACAGTATCCAACGCATTAATTAAAAAACTAATAGGCATGTACATTTTGACTAATAGGTTCTTGGAATCTGAATCTGGATAACATGAATTATTTGGTTTTATAACATGAATTATTTATTTTAAGGTAAAAAAAGAGAGAGGAATAAGATGTTGGTCACAACTTTGACAAAGAAATATGCGAGGAACTTCCTCATTGTGTTGAACACCAACACATCTTGTGTGTTGCCATACTTCACAAATATCACAACACACCATCCTCTCTCCATCTTCTTCCTTTGCTCCACAATCACACTCAA